TGGGTTGTCTCCAGTGTGGGGTAATTATGTTGCTATGAAAGTTTTTTTTTGTTGTTTATCCTCACCAGAGGACATTTTTTGCATTTATGCATTTATCTTCAGATAGAGTGGGAGGGAGAGACAGGAGAAGAGAGAGAGAGAAACATCTGAGAGAGACACATCGACTGGTTGCCACCCACATGACCCCAACCGAGGCCAGGGACAAATTGCAACCGAGGTACGTGCCCTTGGCGGGAACTGAACCCAGGACTCTCTGGTCCGCAGGCTGATGCTCTAACTGCTGAGTCAAACCAGCCATGAAAGGTTTTGTACATCTAGTTTTGGGCAACCATTTCCACAGAGTGGTCAGTGAACCCCTTAGGGTTCCCCGGGACCTTATCAAGGATCTTATTTATCACTGAAGTCAGAACTATTTTCTTCTATGATAATACTACAATGTAATGTGCTCTTTTTACTCTGTGGGCACTGCACTGATGGTACAAAAGCAATGATGAGTAAAACTGGAGCCACTTTAGCAAGAATCAACTCAGTGGCTCCCACTTGTACATGAAGTTATTTTTTTGCCAGTCTAGTCCTTTAATTAGCATATCCTTCATCACTAACAAGAATAAATTCTTTTTCACATGTTTATAGCATTTGCATTATCTCTTTTGTAAACTGTCAATTCAAATCTCTTCCCCATTTTTAACAGGATGATTTGTCCTTTTTATGTTGAGAGGTATTCTTTGTCTCACATGTGACACATTTTTCTCTATGTTATCTTTTTCACTCTTTTAATGGTATCTTCCACTGAAAAGAAGTTTTAAATTTTCATATGGTCAAATGCACTATTCTTTTCTTTGTTCTGAGCGTCTCTGCGACTGTGCTGACTACTATATTAAATATATCAACTACAATGATGAAATGAAATAATAGCAGGCACTTCTTCCGGTCCCCCCTCAGAGCCAACCGCCAGTGGCCCGAGGCTAACAGAGAAGGCCTGTCTGCAGCTGCCCTGGTAGCCAACCCCAGGGACTTTCCGAGGTCCCCACCGCTGCTCACTCAGCCATCAGCTGCCCTCACCTGCCACCATGGGGATGACCCGCCGCTGGTGAGGCCCGCCCTGCAGCCTGCCCCTCAGCCTTCGCCAAGAGGCCCTGCTAACCTTCTTGGCTGGAGGGTCCCCTCTGGAAAACCTGTTGCCTATGCCTCCAGCCTGGCTCCTGTTCCTCCAGGTGTGGTGCCCCAACCGCTCTCGTAAGTGCATCAGAACGATTACGCCCACTGCGAGGCCGCCATCAACAAGCAGATCAACTGGAGCGCTATGCCTCCTACATGTACCTGTCCATTGCCTTCTATTTCCACCGCCAGGACACTGCCTTGAAGCACTTTGCCACATTCTTCTTGTGGCGGTCCAGGGAGGAGAGGGAGCAAGCCCAGGCGCTGATGTGGCTGCAGAACCAGCGAGGGGGTCGTCTGCACACAACAGGAGGTCTGGTCGCAGCCAGTGGGAGCGGCCTGAGCGCCAAGGAAAGCGCCTTGCACGTGGAGGATCGCGAACCAGAGCTTGCGCATTCTGTTCCAACTGGCCACCGACAAGAACGACGCCCACCCGTGTGACTTCCTGGAGCATCACCACGTGCGCCAGGACGTGAAGTTCATCAACTTCGGAGTCAATATCATCGAACTGGTAAGCTGGGGGCCCCAGAATCTAGCCTGGCAGAGTACCTTTTTGTCACCGTCACCCTGGGTGCCAGCATGAAAAACTGGGCCTGTACTACCTTCCTGATAGCCATGGGGTGACTTCCTCAGGTCACCGTGCCAAGCACGCCTATTGCCATATTGCCTTTGCAAAACATTCACTTCAGTTTTTATGTTCAAGTTTTAGCATTTCTTGCAATAAAGTTACTTTCCTAAATAAAGTAATAATAATAGCAGGCACCCTTATCTTTTTTCTGATCTCAAAAAGAAAGTTTTTCAGCACTCCATTAAATTCCCTTCCTGTTTCCTTTTGGGGAAAAGAACTTTGAGCCACTTTCTCTTCAGGAGGACTGGGCCTTGCTAATCCTCCCCCCTCTTCTTCCCCGAGGCCTTACCTTTGCCTTTCTCTCTGCTAACCTCCAAGGGCCCTTCCTTGTGCTTCAGTAACTTACTTCTTGAGTCTAAACAACCCAGCTGGCTCATTTCTACTACCTCTGTAACTTCCTAAATAAACTTTCTAATTTGAGGAAAAACAAACAAAAAAAAAAACACTTGATTATAGTTAAAAGAATTAGTTTCTTTTACCTTTAACTTTGATTATAGTTTTTCAAGTTTTACTGTACAATTTTCCCAGACTCCCTTAATCATAAAATTAGGGGAGTCCTTCTAGAGCTATTTTCTCATAAATGAATGTTTACCTTTATGAAATACCTTTTCTGCACCTATTGATATTTTGCTTTAATCTTAAGGATTATATTATTTGAATTTCTATTTTTAAACCCTCTCATTTCTAAAATAAACTCAATTGGTGGTATCACTTTTTTACATGCATCGTTGGACTCGGTTCACTAATTTTTTTTATCTTGTACCTATGTTCATGATCGATTAACCTATATTTTTCCTTTGTTCTTATGCTGTCTGGTTTTGGTACTCAATGGATCCTATTATAAAAGACTCATACAATGTCATACTTCAGCCCGGCCGGTGTAGCTCAGTGGTTGAGTGTTGACCCATGCATTAATGTCAGTTTGATTCTTGGTCAGGGCACATGCCCAGGTTGTGGGCCAAATCCCCAGTGGGGGACATGCAGGAGGTGGCCAATCGATGTTCTCTCTCATCGATGTTTCTCTCTTTCTATTCCTCTAAAAAAAAATTGTCATACTTTATATAGAAAGTGCATTTAGGAGGGTTCCCTCCTCTTTGCTCCATTGTTTTTGTAAACCTAGCATTATTTATCCCTTGAAAGATTAAACTTGACAGTGAAGCCATGTGGGACTTTCCTCAAAATGTTTTCACTACTGTTCTATTTCCTTAATGGGAATAGGACTATTCGGATATCCTATTATTCCTGAGTCTATTTTAGTAAGTGATCTTTTTCTACCATTTTATCTAGTTTCAAATTTATTGGCCTAATGTTCATATCTCCTATCATCTTAACACCTACAATATCTGTAATTATGTATGCTTTTTATTTCTGGAATTATTTGTGCCTTTTCTTTTACTTGATCATTGTTGCCAGTTTAATCTTTTCAGTCTCAAGTTCGTTTGCCTTTTTTTTTTATCCTCACCTGAGGACATTTTTCTATTTTTTGTTCAGGTAGAGTGGGAGGAAGAGAGAGGAACAGAGAGAGAGAGAAACATCGATATGAAAGGAACACATCGAGTGGCTGCCACCCACACGACCGACCAGGGCCGGGGACATCGTTTGCTTTTTAAACCACTTTTATTTGGAATCATTTAAAGGTGTCAATGTCCCAAGAGCTTATTAAAATTAAACAGAGGTCCTAACTCTAAATTTAATGGAATGCCTACATGCATGAATATAAATTATTTTTCTCTTGAGCAAGAACATTTAGTAGCTTTATCAGGACACTTGAAAGGCAGAAATTAGGGTCACTGGATGTTACGTTCAGTCACCTTCAACATCCTGTTCTTCATCCACATCATCCACCTCGGCATCTGAGTCAGGACCTTCTCCATCCTCTGGGTCATAGCAATCCAGGCAGATCAGCTGGGGCAAGGGCTTGAAGACACTCTCTAGGTGGTCATTCAGGTTAGTAACCTCACTGTTAAACAGATCCAGGCTTCCCCGACATTCCAACTTGTTCAAAGGTTCCAAGGTGCTGATACCTTTGTTTATTTCCACTTACATTTAGATGTGTGAGATTTGAAAGTTTTTCTGCCAATTTGTTCAGACAGCCATAGATTCTATTGTCTATGGATTTTTCCATTTTGGTAGTTTGGGAACATTTGAAACTGAAATGAAGCCTACATTAAACTGAGGAACTCCCTAAGTTCACAAATTCAGCGTTAAGCCCTCAATTTTTCCATTATTTGATTTGCAATTGTCCAGGACAAGTTCTTGAACCTGAAAAGGGGAGTTCTGGCTGAGGCACGGCTTCCCTGAGTGGCGGTTCCGTGGTGGCCAGGAACCATGGGAAGCCACTCCAGTTTGAGGAGAAGGTAGGAGGATGGGGTGAAGAGGCGATTCTTAAAGATCACCCACCTTGATGGCAAGCCTCAGTTGGGTGCATTTGCGGGGGTGGAGGTCACTGAGTCCCACCGGCACACCTGGTGCCTGGCCTGGGCCCAAAGTCCCAAGTTTTAACTTGCTGAGCAATGTGAAATTGAACTGCAAGTCCACATAAAAGCTTATGTGCAGTACGTGGCTAAATATATTGAAGAATAAACAAATAAAATTCCAGTAAGGTCTAGAATACTGGCAGCTTGGTGGGGTAGCATGGGGTAGCCAGGAGCAATGCCCCCCCAACCCCCAGGTGGAGGGGCTGCCGAGAGGAAAGCAGACCTCAGGCGTTTTCTGGGACTGTCCCCAGATCTGCCTGGGACCAAGTCTCTCCTGAGGGGCCTCAAGAGTTTGTGCAGACTTGCTTCTGGGTAGCTAGACAGGGTCAAGCAAGGGTAGAGACCAGGTGTAGGTGGGAATGAGCAGTGTTCTTCATGGACCGTAAAAGTCCACTCTGAATGTTCTGTTTCTCAAGCCAATAGCAGCATTCTTCCTCTAGCCCCAAAAGTGAAAATCTCAGAGCAGCAGGGGAAGATGTACACTCTCTCCCCTTGCTGTAGACAGACTAAGCCACAGGGGATGAGAAGCAGCAATCACCCTGATGGGCACAATGCTGCCTGCTGCAGACATGCCAGGACATGACCTGAAACCTCAGAGCCTGAGCTGGTCCCCTTTGTTTCTCCTTGGCAGGAGACCTATGTGTGGGAAATGAGGACTCTTACCCTCTCCAGGGATGGGACTGGGGTGGATAGGAGCCGCTTACAGATAGTATAGGAGCCCAGATTCTAGGTCCAATAGCAGTTTTTATTCCCTGGGAACAAAAATATGTGAGGAAGAAACCAAAAGGAAAACAGGAGCACAAATAACAAAATGATACTAGGGTGGTGTGGCTCAGGAGTCAGATGGACAATGCACAGTGGACCTGGTCACTCCCTGGTTTCTTAGATCAATATCTACCCCATCCTCAAGTGCCCACTGGAGGTGGGGCTAGAGGCAGTGGGGTGGAAAGCTTCTCCTAATCTACACAAAGGAGATGAATGCACTGGTCTACTCCAAGAGGTTTCACAGGAATACCAAGACCCCCCTCAAGAATGGAGTAGACACATTAGAATAAGAGGGGCCTGGGTATCACAAACAACCTGAAAGTAGTCAGAGGGGCCCTTTTTGGCTTAGAGAGGACACAAGGGAAGCAACAGGTAGTGTGTGGTCAACCTTGCCAGATCAGGCCCTGTGGCAGTCGGAACCTGCACTGCAGGTTCCATCCACTTCGAAAGAGCTTGGCTAAGTTGAATCAAAAGCCATTATCCTTTTCCCATAGAATTCCCCTCTATCCTCTTTTCTGTCAAAATTCTTGTCCCATTCACATACCTCCCATGACCTGACAGCTTCCACAATAGCACAGACCCCTAAGATACAAGGTCCTTTGGTGTGGGCTAGGTCACCTGGTCATCTAGTCCACTGCAGAATGCATCAAGTAGCTCATCCCTGTACCACAGGGTAGACTCAGGCTGGTTCCTGAATCCAGATCACAGTGAGGTCTCCTGGAGGATGAAGGTGGGGCTGCTCCCCTGGTGGACGGGGCCTTCCTCAGGCACTGCCAGGGCCTCGTCTCTGCGGCCCTTCAGCACCCCATTGTTCATCTTCTCCGGGAACACTGTGGTGTCCTCAGAGAGGTCCTGGGGACACACAGAACACAGGGAGTGGAATGGGCAGCAGGGCACAAAGGGCTGTGGAAGTGACGCAAGCAGAAAGGTGCCAGACCCTGCTTGACTCCAGCTAGATGGGACAGCAGCATGGGGGGGGGGGGGGGGGAAGGCCAGCACGCTATCGCCTCGCTGCTGCGCCCAGGCCCTGCTGTAGGATGGGCCAGGCTCGGGTAAATCATCAGAGAAAGGGGTGCTGGGTGGGGGGAGAAAGCAAAGGGATGAAGGGAACCCGGAAGGTCTGGGGCGGTCTGGAGAGGGAAGGGAGGGACAATCTGGACAACACAGGTGCTACCTGGCTGTAGCTTCTGCAGTGAAGCCGCTTCTGACAGGACACAGGCAGGAGGGCAAGGAGTCTTGGCAACACTGGGTAAATGGTCCGAGGGTTCAGGGTCCGGCCCCGCATTCCTCCTGAAGGTCAAGGCACTTGAGTCTTACCATGTAACCAGTGTATACAACCCAGCAAGCTCTCTGTTCTTAGGGTTCCCAGCCCCAGCCCCATCCACCCCCTGGAGCTCAGCCAACAAACCTGGTTGTTAAAGATACTAGGAGCCCAGGAGGCAGAATCAATTCTCTGCCCAAAGTCTAGATTCCCTGAGCACCCTCCCTCAGTCCATTCTGTTTCTGTGATCCCATCCCACACCCTCTCACCAGTGAGGAGACTGACAATCAGGCCCACCACAATGACCGTGGTGGAGTTGTGAGCGCTGTACCATAAATATGACAGGGAATAGAGACGCTGCAGCCCTGTGGGCCTGGGAAGAACAGAGGGGTGAGGACAATTTGTTGACAGGGTATTTCATGGCCACCTGGCTCCACCCATCTGCAAGGTCCTAGGGTCTTGGGATCTAACATCCAACATTTCTCTGAGGCTTCTGGTGGCCTACTCCTTGGCACGACCCCCTGGGAAACCCCTCAAAAATGAGCTATTCTCCCTAAGAAAGAGAGTCAGGCTCAACTCACCTGGAGAGTATGGTCGAAGGCATCAGCGTGGTCATGGTGACAGTGGACAGATTGCTAGGCAGGGAAGAGCTGGACCCATTAAAAGGCAAGGGTGCCATGCCAGAGCCCATTCTGGTCACTATGCTCCCAATGCCAATCCAGAAGGCCATGATGAGTCCAGCCAATAGGCCCACAATGGCACCCTGCCCAATGACACAGCACATTCTCCTGTCACAATGCCAGCCCTACCCAACCTTCACACCAGTTCCCAGCACTCATGGTGAGTGCTCTCCCAAGCCATCTGCTGGGTCCATCCCTGCACTTGACTGGAGCTAGATGGGTCACTCACAGAAGGATTGGCACAGGGAAAGAACATCCCAAGGCAGAAGAGTCCAAGCAGCGGCCCCCCAACCATGCCAAAGATGCTGAGCGCTGCCTGTGGAGAACAGGGTTGGGGAAAGACCACTTAGGCTCAGAGACCACAGCCTCATCAACACTGCCTCAGAGCCCTCAGATGTGTGCCTATCTCTTCTGTCTAGACCATCACAATGCAGGATTCCAGGGGACAGGAATGAGAGAGATAAAGTGCTTTGGACTCTCCTCTGAGGCTGATCCTTAGATGTCTCTGAGCCAACAATGTCCCAGGAATGACTCTGGGACTTTTGGCTACTTGAATCTGTTCAAAGCTAAAGGTAGTCCATCAAAAGGGGATTTCTGACACCCGCCCCATGTCATTCCCTTCATAACAGCTATCTTCCTCAATTTTCAGTTTCAATCTGCTCCTCTTCTCCCCTAAAAATAGCTTTCTACCCTCCTTAGTCATTACCTGTAGCACTGGTCCCATCTGGGAGGATATATAGGCCATCCCCAGACAAAGTAGCCCATAGCCAAAGGCTGGGGGAAAAGAAGGGAGGAAACAAGATGTGAGTTAACACACTAAGGGGTAGGAAGTAGAGCAAAACTCCTTCCCCAGCCAAGGCACTATCTCTGTGTTCCTGGAAATAGGACATGTTACCTCATGCCCCAGCTCCAGTTCCCTCCCACCCTGTCCTCATACCTATCTTGCTCAGAAACGCCCCCAGGAAGCGCCTTGAGCTATGGACAAGGCCGTGTGCTTCATCTGGCATGCAGCAAGCCCAGGTTAAACTGGTGCTTTAAAGCAGACTGGCAATAGTGCTTAGGGTGTATCTTAGAAACAATACAACTGAAGAGATAAGGAAGCATAATCCTACCAAGGATTCTGGAAAGCATGGTAGCCCGGACTTCTGAGAAGTGAGGGAACCAAGGTCGAATCAGGTCTTCCATCGTAACAGTTGCCAATGAATTAAAAGCAGAGGATATGGTGCTGAAAGGAGGAAGAGAAAGGCAAGTTGCACTGAGAAGCACAACTAACAAGGGTTTCTATTGGTAGATAGCACCCCAAAGGTAGGAGATGACGTGTGTGGCCAAGACGCCTTCCTCATAGTTGGCAGCAGAGGAAGAGGCTTGGAAGATAAGGATGCTTGACCTTTTCTGAGTGGGGTACAGGCTTTGTTCAGCAGATCAACTGGTATGATAAAAGAAGAACCCTTCCTCAAAAAGGTAGCATCTCCTAGGAGAGAACATGCTCTGTCCTACACAGATGAGCTGTCCCTTGTCACTCACAGATAGAAAGGCATAATGAGGAATCCCCTTCTCTACCCATCACTCTGTGCTAAGTAGGGGCCAGCTGTGCCAGCTGAGGGAAAGAGTCAAAGAGGGTACCTGAGGGAGCCACTGAAGAGGCAGGCGACGAAGAGCCCAGGCAGGCCTGGCAGGCCGTTCAGGAGATCCATCACAAAATACAGGACGAACTGCAGGCAGAAGAGAAGTGCACAGCTCTCCTGAGAGGGGAGCCCTTCCCAGAGAAAGACATACAGAGAGCCTCCCTGTACATGCCCGGCCAGTCTGGAGCATCAGGAAGAGGGGCCAAGCACTGACGGTCACCACAGTAAACAGAGAAAAGAGGAAGCAGCACACTTGCCACCTTGTTGAGCCTCTTTTTTTTCTAGAAAAGGAGGCTGTTGGGAGGGTTACATGAGACCAGGTGGGTAATAGCCCCCAACAGGGCATATGGTGCACAGTGGTGAGTCAATGAAGGTAGGTCCCCAGCCAGTAGAGTGAGCGATGTGATTAGGTGGTGCTGGGGTCCTCATCAGATGAACTTAAGTCCACCTGCTGCCCAGGGTGAGTGTCCCTTCTGCAGCCACCCAGACATGCTTCTTGAGGGGCCCAGGTTAACCCCTCATGGGCACAGAAGGGCGCCAGGGAGGCCTTCTCACCTGGTCAGGGGCTGCCTCAGCCTGCTGAGTGCTCATGGGATATTCCTTGTAGTAAGCGAACATGACCAGGCCAATGAGGCAGCCCATGCAGAGGACCACCTGCTGGCAAGGGAAGACCGAGTAGCAGGAGCTGTAAAACAAGCCAGGGTCAAGGGGAGAGAGGGACTGAACAGATACCCTCAAGCATGGCCCTGAGCCCCAGAAAGCAGACTCACATCCTGACCCCAAAGGGGCCATGTGTGCTCTGAAATCCTGCCCCCACCTAAACTGCCTCAGTGGGACTGGGGCCCATTTTCTTCCTCCAGCCTTGCTTCCCAGTCTTCTTGTCCCTGCACTCACAGTATAGCAGCCTTCTCCGTGCGGGAGCTGAGGTAGCGCTGCACCTGAGCCTGGTTCACCCCATACAAGGACAGCATCATGAAGACTCCTCCGAAGGCCAACGTCCAGAAAGTGTGCCGCACGAAAGGGTCTGGATCTAGCCTGCAATAAATGCTACCTGGTTACTGTGCCATAGCCCCAGAGAGACTCGGCCTTCCTCACCTACATCAAGGGTCAGAGGGGAGCAGAGACACCACTGCGCAGGCTAAGGAGCTACTGAAGAATGCGCTGGGTAGACGCAAGAGGCAGCATAGCAAACTAGAGGGAGAGCTTCATTCCTCCAACCTCATCCCAGGTACTAAAAACATCCTGACCATCCTTAAGCAGCACTCAGACTCCTGTGATCAGACTCCATCTCTGCAGTGCCAGCTTCCCACCCGTCTCCATACTGCACCCACGGCTTCCACGGCTTGCCCTCTGCTTATTACAACCCTGAGCTCAGGCTCTAGGATACGTTTAGCTCCTAGGCACTAGAGACCCCAGCTAGGGGAAAGGGTGTACTTACTCGATCCCAGAGATTCGGCCATGCTGGGAAGCCAAATCCCACACACGTCCCAAGCCGCCCACCTTGGCCGACCCCACAATGATAACTGCCAGCTGCCCTAGGAACATGACCAGTGTCTGGAACACATCTGTCCAGATGACTGCCTTCAGCCCACCCTGTAAGAAAAAGAGCATGCCTAACACAAATGTCTTCAAAACCACTCACCAGTGAGGACACCATACTACCAGCAAGGGCACTTTATTGCTGCCAGGGGCATAATTACCAAGACCCTGTTGACATCATCTCGACCCCAGCTCCTACCTTCATATCCCATACCCCATCATAATCCCATCCCATCTCCTATCTCATTTCATTCCACTTCCTTTTTTTTTAATTGTTGAAAGTATTACAGACGCCCCTCCTTTCCGCTCCCACCCCTCTCCTGCCTTCCCCGCCTAATGTCTGTGTCTCATTCTACCTTCTCACCTATATTCTTATCTCATCCCCTCCTACCTTCTAATCTCATTCATCCCTTCTTTTCCTTTTCTTCCCATTTCCTCTCCTTACTTGTCTCTTCTTCTCCCTCCCCTAAGACTTACTGTACTTACCAGAGCAGTATAGAGGGCACAGACAATGCCTAGGGTCAGCACTGACAGCCACAGATCAAAGCCAGTCACTGTAAAGAGATAAAAGTTACATTTGTCTCTGGAAGAGGATTTTGGAGCGGGAAAACCAGAGAAGCTCTGGTAAGACATGAAGCATTTGGTAATTAAGAATGAAATAAATCATTCACCACAATGGGAAAAAATGTTCACAGAGCTCCACAAAAAGGTGGTGGTTAACCAGTTCAGATGGGGCATGGTAACATTTGACTAGCTTTCAAGTGAAGTGAAGCAAGCCAGCCTCCATCTCTGGTGGAGACCAGCCAAGGACCCATGTCGTGAAATAATTCCCAGGCCAAGGTGGATTCTTTTCTGCACACTCTCATCTACCTGCCCCTCCCAAAGGTGCTTTCCCAGACTACTGGGGCTGGCAGAAGGAGCTGTGACTTCTCACCTGCATTGAGGGCCAATGATGGTGCATAGAGCACAACCCCCATGTAGATCACCTGTTGGGTATGAAAAAGAGGCTGTGAGGGGAAGAGGAGACGAGGGTGGGCAGAGAGAGGGAGAAAGATGGACCTCAGCTCCAATATCCCAACAGCCTCCTTTCACCCAGGCCCGCTTCCCTCTCCCTTCTTCCAAATTTTCACTTGCTGCCACGCAGTGTGTGCTGGGACTGGAAGGAAAGGAAAGCAGGATGCCTCTGGGGGCTTCAGTAACACTGACCCATGGCAGGAATTTTAATCCTGCCATTTTGAGAGCAGGAAGGCTCCAAATGCCTGAGTTCAGGATCCCCTATCATGCCTCAGGCTCAGTTCTAGCCTCATTCTACTTACCATCTGAAAGATGAAGGTCATGGTCCCACAAACCCGCACAGTTTTATTGAATCGAAGCTCCAGGTACTAGGTAGGAGTATATAAAAAAAAAAAGTATTCTTCCCCACTGCACCCCTCACAGTTCACACACAATTTCCCTCAAGAGGTACAGAAACATGAGGGAATATCCAATTCACATCCACTCTAGGCCCACTCAGCAGAGCACCTTCCTTCTCCCCTAACCCAACCTCACCTAGGATGAACCTATAAACACAATATGGTACCTGTCAGTCTCATTAGGCAGAGAAAATCTGGGGACCCAGACCCTTCATATGTGCCCTGTTCCTCCTTTCCATCCCTGAGCCTGAGGGTCCAATGTGCTCCTCCCTTCCTCCCTGCTCACCTCATAGGCACTGGTGAGATGCAGGCGGTAGAAGATAGGGATGAAGATGTGTGCAGGAATCAGCAGCCCCAGGAAATATGAGCAGCCCAGGAACCAATACTGGGTCCCAAATCGGTAGATCTCGGATGGTACACCCAGGATGGCCACAGCCGATTGGAAGGTGGCCAGCAGGGACAGCGCCACAGGAAGGCAGCTCATCTGGCGGTCTGCCATCTGCAGCTGACCAATGGTATGCTTGCCCCAGCCACGAAAGGCATGGTAGAGCCCAATGGCAAGGGAGAGAACCAACAGCAAGATGAAGACCACATAGTCCACAAGGGAGAAGGCGGATTTTACCGTGCTTGTGTCTGAGGCTGGGGAGAGAGAAGCGGAGGGGGTCATCCCCACACTCATCTCCTCACTGTATCTATGACCTGTAGTCACTTGCTGTTCCTGGGCTCTGGGCTGCCACTTGGCTGGGTGGTGGCAGGCAAGTGGCAACTACCTGGCTGTCAACCAAGGTCTCACAGGCCTCTTCCTCCACCAAGTGACACTGTCCAGAGTAACCTGCAAAGGAATGAGGTTCTAGTGAGGCCTATCCTGCCTTCATGGCCACCCACCCTGGACCAGGCAGCTCGGTGGCAGACCTTGGAAGTCTGGAGGTCTTAGTATGGATCTGGTAGAGGAAAGTAGAGAGGAAGCAGCAGTGAGATAGCCAGGAAACAACTACTTGGCCAACACCTTCTTGAGCATGCATAGCTATAAAATAAAAGAACCTTCCTAGGTCTTCAGCCCAAAACAAACAAAAAAATTAACTCTACTCCATGTTTCTTCTCAGAAGATTTTCCTGCTCCCACTTGTAGGCACAGACCCAGTCACTACAATATACTAAGCCAGCAGAGCCCAACCTGGCGCCACAGCCCAGCAGGGAAGAAGAAATGGAGACTAATAACAGCATGGTTTCCTCTATTCCTCTTGGCCTCAGCTCCCATTTCCCATGATCCTGTTTTACTTTGCTAATAGCACCCCTTCTTAGCACTGATTCCCATTGAGATCACCTCCTTGGCAGCCCCAAACTCCACTCCAGGCATCCCCAGGTCAACCACTCAGTTTTCCCCAACACTACCTGATAAGCCCTGCCACTTTATCTTAGCTACTGTACATGTAACACCACTGTCAATAGCAGATCTGGGAAGAGGGGTAGGATTCAAAAGTGAGAGGTGTTCCCTGTACAAAATGCCCAGTGAAACCACAGAAACTGTCCCTACTACAGATCAGGAGTTGCCACAGCCCCAGGCTGAGACAGGGTCTGGAACAGAGTCTGACTGATGAATCAGTACCAGCGCCCGAGGAACAGATTCCACACAGGCCACCACACAACAAGCCCACCTGGCAGCAGCAGCTGACAAAGAGCCAGGCAGTAAAGCAACAGAGCCGGAGTGAAAAGAGGGCACAGAAGGCTATGTCCAAACAGGGTCTTTGACAGGTTACTAGGGTCACTATCCAGAAATCTAAGAACATCCTCTTTGTCATCATAAAACCAGATGTCTACAAGATTTCAGCTTCAGATACCTACATAGTTTTTAGGGAAGCCAAGATCAAGGATTTACCTCAGCAAGAACGGCTAGCAGCTGCTGAGAATTTCAAAGTTCAAAGTGAAGCTGTCTCAAACATTCAAGAAAACACACAGACTCCAACTATACAAGAGGAGAGTGAAGAGGAAGAGGTTATGAAATGGGTGTGGAAGTTAAGGACATAGAATTTTGTCACCTCACAAGCAAATGTGTCAAGAGCAAAGGCAGTCTGAGCCCTAAAAACCAGCAATAATGACATTGTAAGTGCCATTATGGAATTAACCATGTAACGATCTAAAAAAGGACTATTTTGCCCTGGCTGGTTTGGCTCTGCGGTTAGAGTGTCGGCCCACCTACCAAAGGGTCTTGGGTTCGATTTCCAGTCAAGGACACACACCTGGGTTGCAGGTTCAATCCCTGGCCCTGATTGGGGCATGCGGGAGGCAACCAATTGATGTATCTCTCTCACATTGATGTTTCTCTCTCTGTCTCTCTCTCCCCCTCTCCCTCCTTCCCTTCCACTCTATCTAAAAACCAATGGAAAAATATCCTTGGGTGAGGATTAACAAAAAATAAATAAAAACAAAGCTTTTTTTTTTTTTGGTGGTTCAGAAGAGTGACTGCAGCTGGGTTTGAAATTTGTACTGTTTCTATCATTAATAAAGTTATGGCTTCTTGTGGGATGAAAAAAAAGTGAGAGGGCAACGTACTGGAGCCAGGGGTTCAGAGTTAAGATTACAAGAACATTTTGGGGTGAAGCAAACCAACCAGGGAACTGTGGCAAGGGGAACAGCCAGGGAGAGTTGTCCTATTCTGCTGAGCAGACACCTTACCTAGAGAAGCAATCCCGTTCTGAAGCAGAGCTGCCTGGAAGCTGTACCTTCTGGAGCTGGATAGAGACTGAGGGTCTGGCTCTATAAGTAGCTGCCGGTGAAATCAGGAATTGCGGGGGTGGAATGAAGCTCAGCAGCTGTTTGTTCTGGCCCCTTCAGGGAACCAATTGCTATGATCCAAACGACCTATCACCCTGTGGGCCCCAAACTCCAGCTCCAGAATGAAGTCAGTAACATTCCTAGATGGATTAGGCTTTCACTCTAAGTCACACAGGCACTGTGTGCTAGAGGGAATTGGAAAGGAGGGGCTGAGAGAAGATGGGAACCTTGCTTTTCTGACTCCTACAAAAGAAATACTACTCCTCAAAGAATATACCATTATCTTTAGAACAAGGACAGGATCATAGTATTTCAAAACTTAAAGGAATCACAAAGACACCAAGGCTTAGATGACTCAGTGACCTTTTCAAAACCAGAGCTGATTCTTGTCAGAAGCTAGATTAGAACCCAGGTCTAGTGATTTCCCCATTCATTTTCAACCTTTTTCATCTCGTGGCACAAATAAACTAATTACTAAAATTCTGCAGCACACCAAAAAATCTACTTTTTGCCTATCTGACCAAAAAATAGGTTTAACTTTAATTCATTCACACTGGACGGTTACTGTGTTGGCTGCTGTCGTTTTTTAACTTGACAATCTAAGGGAAAAGATGGCAGTGCGCGTGACTAAATAGTCAGGTATTGTATGTTTTAAAAGTTCTCGCACCCTGGCTGTTGTGGCTTGGTTGGAGCATGGTCCCATACACCAAAACTCATTCTGAGCCCTGGCCGGTTTGGCTCAGCGGTTAGAACGTAGGTCCATGGACCAAAGAGTCAAGGGTTTGATTCCGGTCAAGGGCACGTACCTCGGTTGCAGTTCGTCCCCAGCCCTGGTCGTGGTCATGTGGGAGGCAACCAGCTGATGTGTCTCTCTTACATCGGTCTCTCTCTCTCCCTCCCACTCTATCTGAAGATAAATGAAAAAATATCCTCAGGTGAGGATTTAAAAAAAACAAACAACTCACATCAATATTTCTCTTTCCCTTCCTCTTTCTAAAATCAATAAAAAATAAAATAAAATAAAAATTCTTGCAGTATACCAGTTGAAAATCACTGCCGTAGGGTCCTTATTGGTGTGAGGAAAAAAATACCAGAGAATACCATACATTTAGATAGCCTAACATGATGACAGTTAACATTTTCTGAACACCTGCTATGTAACCAAGAAGCATGCTATGTACTTTACAGACATTAGTAATAATAAGCAATTATAATAAATAATAAAAAATAATTGAAATAAGTGAAGATGTCACCATAGCTATCACTCTCAAAACACCACATCTCAGGTTATGCACTTTGTCTTTCAAGCCTCACCTAAGGATATTTTTCCTTTTTTTTTTTTTTTAAGATAGAGTGGGAAGGAGAGAGGGAGCGAGAGAGAGAGAAACATTGATGTGAGAGACACATTGGTTGCTTCCTATACCACCCCAGCTGGGGCCAGCGATCCAAGCTAGAACCAAGTTATGTGCCCTTGACAAGGAATAGAACCCAGGACTCTTTGGTTCATGGGCCATTGCTCTAACTGCTGAGTCAAACTGGCCAAGGCAGGTTATGCACTTTACATGAACACTCTAGGAAACTGAGATTTAGAGAGATTAAATAACTTGCTTAAGGTTACACAGCATGATACAAAATATGGGAGAAAGAAACAGTACTCTCTGCAGGTATAACAGATTTTTCACCAGTGACCCCTATCCTTACTCACCAGAACAGAAGCAGAATGTTAACTGTAGTCAGTCATTCATGGAACAGTTTAGATTTCAGCTAATCTAGACACAGAACATTACAAGCTATGTCTTCTGTGCTAGCCCACTAGGAGAAAGCCTGGCTGTCCTCTGGCTCTATCCCAGTGTTCTTGGGCAGATGTTGCCTGCTGGAATGATATGGCCTCACACAAATGAAACCCAAACTGAAACTCCTGGGGGAGGAAATAAAAGCTGGCAACTCTTGGATTGCATGTTACAAATGTCAGTCCTCAGAACAACATTCCCAGTAGGACACTCTGGTTTAACCTAAAGATACCATGGGCCTTTGTTTTCTCACTCCTCTAGCAAACCTTTTACTGCTATGACAGAGGTGATAGGAACTACTGGCAAGTAAGAAATAGCTGCTGTATGCAAATAAGAATGTGTAGTGGTAAACGATTAGTGATATGGATAGGCATGTAGCTGGAGAAAGAAAAATTCCAGTATAAACTAGAACACAGACATAAAGAACTGGAGACAGCTGGGGTAAACTGGCAGGGCATCCTGATAAGAATTCTATCTATTTGCACGGAGAACCCCCCTAGTTGGCTATCTAGACTAGAAAAGTGTGACCCAGTAAAAAAGCCTTTATCAGACATGATTCTAAGAACAGGATAGTGGCTAAAAACTCTACAGTGATCTAAACCCTGTGGGCTTTTATCTATCTGAGAGATCATAAGCCAAAAGAACTGAGTTGTTTCATTAAAACTGCAACACCCAGGGCACAAATAGCTGGCTGTAGAACCCCTTTTACAATTCCTAAGACAAGGAAAATAGTATTTTCCACCACCCTACCCCGTCCCTCACGTCAGTCACAAACTGCAGTGGATTGCTTGGACTCCTACACAAGTTAAGAGACCGCAGCAGACCAAAGTCCCAACGAGATTTCTTCAAGATCTGGTTATTATGTCTAGGATTCCTCAAGGTCTGAAAGACTTTAGGGACCCTCACTAAACTGCTAATTTTAATTCAAACTATAATGCTAATTTTTATGTTAATGCTAATTTTAATTTCCAAGGACTTAATACTCAGTTCCTCCAGGCGTGGCCTCACAATCGCCACCCCCCGCACCTTGGGGGTCTGAGCCCGGGGTCACCCTAGGACAGCGCTCGCCTTCCCCTTACCTCCGTGGCTCAAGCTAAGGAGGTCCCGTCGTTCTTCCTGGGATCAGCATCGCTCTGTTTTCTGGGAAGGCACAGGAGACGAGGAGTTAGGGACGCATCTATCCCGCCCCTACCTCCTCACCAGGGCTCCGGACGCCAAGCGATCTCAGGACTGAGGTGAAGAGGACAGGGTGTCCGAGGCGTCCCCAGGCAAGTCTCTTCCCGCCTGGGTCTGCCCTTCGCCCTTCACCCCTCCACGACTCCCACACTCTTTATTTGCTGGCTTCCCACCTTCCCTCCACAAGCGAGACGGCGGGAGCACTAACCACCACCTCGCCGCCCGCAGCTAAGATTTTCCCGGGCCCCTACGGCGGGGTCCCCGCTCACTCCGCCCCCTTTCCTCTACGTTCCTCCCTCCCCGCTCTAACGGGGTTCTGCTGAGCCCTTTAGTACTGACCCACACCCTGCCGGCTCGCCCCAGTGCGCCCCACCTGCCGGGTCTCCATGCTTCGGTCCCGCCACCTACCGAAGAACAAGCTCGCAGCACGTGGGCCAGGTGACAGCGGGGCCCCGCCCTCTGCCTGCCCCGCCATTTTTACTCAGAGATGATGGAGTAGCCCAGAGACACCGCGGAAATGCGACCTTGGCGTCTTGGCGCATGGAACAGGGGACTGAAAGACAGGCGGCGGGAAGGCCTTTGCTCAAGAGGAAGGAGAGGGGTAGGTCAGCATCCTAACGAGCACCGGACACAGAAGAAAGCTGACCTCCGCGAGGAGGAGCAGCCCCCAACCCCGCCCCCGCCGACTGGCTCGCACCACTAATCCACGCCCCCTGGGGGGCGGGACCACGCGCGCAAGTCTCGCGAGCTTCCAAGAAGAACGAAGGGAGCGGAAAAATGTCCCCTCGCGGTTCTGGCAGTTCTTCGACCCCGCTACCCTGGGCTGCGGCCCTGCTCCTCGCTCTGGGCGTGGAAAGGGCTCTGGCGCTACCCGAGGTACAGAAGCAAATTAGAGGTCGGGTTGAAGCAGAGGTGCTGGGCCAGCTTGTGTGTCGCACTCACCCGCCCTCAGCTCTTCCCACCTGGCCCGTAGCTCTGATTTTGCCCTTGAGGCCTTCCCAGCCGGAAGCCCAAACGGCTCCAGCTCAAGATTACTCACTCTGCAGATTTCCTAGCGCTTGAGCCCTACCAACATCCAAAGACCTTTCAATTTTGACCTCGTCGCACCTTAATCTTTGAATAAGCTTAAGTTCTTTCTACAAATGAGCCTTTTGGCTTCTACTGCAGGCTCCCTGCACCAGAATGCAATACATCGTGTGGTGACAGGACTGTACTTTCTGTAATGTTTAATGAGTTATTTGTGTGTTTGCAGTCGTTTTACACCTGGCCAAACTGGCTGTCAGATTGAGAAGTCACTGGAGAGGACAGTAAATGTTCCGATAGTGATTCTCAAAGATGAGAGCCTTCCCTGGGTGTTATATGGTGCAGAAAGTCTCTGTTGCGCTGATTTGGCGCCTGGGAAGAAATGCATCTAGTAGTCAAACCTGTTATAAAGGTAGGACACTTCCCTGTGTTAGAGGAATTCTGGAGAAGTGTGCTGGCAGTTAACTTTTGATCCCTGTTTGTTCTTTTCTTGGCTGTATTTTTTTTGAGTCCTAATAGTTTTCTCTCTTCTGCAGATATGCATCCAGTGTCCAGGGAGTGTTCGAAATTTGTCAGAAGTGGCACAGTATTGTAAGCAGACGCCGGAGCTAATGTTGCAGGCCCGCTGCTGCCTGGATAAGAAGGGCACCATCCTGGGGTGAGGGAGGAGAAGACATCCCTGTGTAGTGGTAAAGAGTTCCCAACCCAGATTCATCAAGGCTTGCCTGTTTGGCTTCTGGGATAAATATTTCTGCCTACTTTGGAGGCATCTCAACCATGACTGTAAGACTTTTAAGTCTGTTATAGCATTTTTGGTAGGTAAATAATCCTGCAGCTCTTCCTGGTTGAAACTACATACGGGTCTTAATTTTTGCCAGTTTTATTTTAAAGGTTTTTATGGCTTTGTATTAAAAAGATTTTTTAAAAGAATAGTTTATTGATTTTTAGAGAGAGGAAGGGAGAGGGAAAGAGAGCAACATCCATGTCATTGATTGACTGCTCCCTGCCTGTCCCCTACTGAGATAGAGCCCACAACCTGGGCATGTGACCCTGACCCAAATGGAACCTGCAACCTCCTGGTGCAAAGGATGATGCCCAGCCAACTGAGCTACACCAGCCAGGGCAAAGAGCTTTGCATTTTCGTTTATTATCAAGTCTTTGGGTTATTTACTGTGTGTCTCCATTACCCCCATAGCCTCCAAGACACTATGTTAATATAATTTTTTCCCCTTCCTGATTAATTCATGTTTGTCTTTGAGGCAAATTCCTCTTCCTGTCCCCTTATGCAGGTTAATCCCTGCATTTTCTCCCTTTACACTCTTGAGAATCCACCTAATTCGTCTTTTTGTTTGTTTTTATTAATTTTTAGAGAGAGATAGAAACAGTGTGAGAAACATGGATCAGCTGCCTCCTGCACGCCCCCTACTGGGGATCAAGCCCACAACCCGGGTCTGTGCCCTGACCAGGAATCTAACTGGGACCTCTCAGTCTTTGGGAGACACTCAGTCCACTGAGCCACACCAGATGGGCAAATCCACCTAATTTTTTTTTCCTCACCCGAGGACATTTTTCCATTTTTTTGTTCAGATAGAGTGGAAGGGAAAGAGAGAGAGAAACATTGACGTGAAAGGGACACATCGAGTGGCTGCCTCCCACACAACCCAACCAGGGCCGGGGACAAACTACAACTAAGGTACATGCCCTTAGTGGGAAACAAACCTGATGCTCAAACCGGCCAGGGCCCACCTAATTCTTATAGCTTCAACTGTAACTACCTTGCAGGTGTCTCCCAAAACTAGATTTCTTTTAGTATTCTTTGACCTCTCCCCAAGCAGATACCTCTAGCTTCCTATTAACAGTTCCTCTTGAGTGCACCCTCACTTCAAACTCAAAAAATCATGTCTTGCCTCCATTCTCTCCCTGACCTACCTAAATACTTCTCTGTGTTAAACTTTCTGAAAACCAGAAATTTTCCATTATCACTCTCTGTTTCTAAAATTAGATTTCCCCCCAGCCGGTGTGGCTCAGTGGTTGAACGTCGACTCATGCACCAAGAGGTCGCTGGTTCAATATCTTGTCAGGGCACATGCCCAGGTTGTGAGTCAGATCCCCAGTGGGGGGCATGCAGCAGGCGGCCAATTGATGTTCTCTCTTATCAATGTTTCTATCTCTCTGTCCCTCTCCTTTCCTCTCTCTTTAACATCAATAAAGAAAAAAAAATTTTTTTAATAAATAAATAAAATAAAATTGGATTTCCAATTATTTATTCACTCAGACCCTTTGATGAGGATCTCACTTTGGCCTGCCTCCAAAAGCATTGTAACTTTTTTTTTGTTCAGGCTTTTCTCCTTACCTGAAATTGCCTTTCTCCACCAAATTAAGACATATCCATTTTTTGTTTTTATCCTCACCTGAGGACATTTTTGCATTTATATTCAGATAGAGCAGGAGGGAGAGAGGGAGGAAGAGAGAGATACATCGAGTGGTTGCCTCCCACATGACCCCAACTGGGGCCGGGGACAAACTGCAACCGAGGTACATGCCCTTAGCAGAAACCGAACCCGAGCTTCTCTGGGCCACAGGCCGACGCTCTAACTGCTGAGCCAAACCAGCCAGGGTGACATGTCCATTTTTTAATTCCAACATTTTTTGTGTGAATCCTCTCTACTTCTAACTACCACAGTAATATTTTATTTTACTTCCATTAATTCTTAGTGTCTGTACACTCAAATTTATTTATATATTGTCCTGTGATCTCTTTCATATTATAGTTTAATGTTTATATTGTTTTTATTTTTGGTCTTGTTTCTGTACTACATTGTAAGCCATTTGAAAGCTAAGATACTGAGGTTAGTCTTTTTAATACTCCAAATTTGTGCAGTTAGTAGGCACTCAGTAAATACTGTAGAATAAAGGAACAGACAACAAAAGATACTGAAGGAAATAATGTGGCATGGTCCTTAATATCAGTAGTTTATATCTAATCTGTGGTAGAAAATGCACTTGGAAAAAAACTTTCATTTATGTGACTTGAATTTTTTTTCCATTTGAAGGTCCTTTGTGGATCTGACAATCATAATGTGGGATTCACTAATCTAGACAAGAAACAATTTTTTTTTCTAATGTATGCACAGAAACAAAGAACTGTCATTATGGAAATGTTCCATATCTGTACTCTCCAATACAGTAGCTCTCTAATACACATATTAGTGGTTAACTGAACACTTGAAATGTGGCTGATGCAAATGTGGAAGTGAATTTTTACAATTTAATTTAAGTAGCTATATGTAGCCAGCTAGTGATGACTGAATAGGACAGTGCAGAATTAAAACATCTACAGCACCTAGTTTGTGGCCCTGAACACAGCTGTGTTCAAGTAATATTTGGTAGAAAAAGGGTTGTATTAGCCTACAATGGATAAAGAGGAGAGACATGTAGTTACACTGATTGCCTTATTTCCTCAGGCTGGATCTCCAGAACTGTTCTCTGAATGACCTTGGTCCAAACTTTCCTCAAGCACATACTGCTGTCATTATGTAAGTGGTTAATCACCTTCCCTATCAAAAAGTGACTATGATGAAGGGTTGATGGGAAAGTCTTTGAGGATGGACTCCTAAAAAAAATGTTTGAATACTGATTTCTAAATTTGGACAACTCAGAATAAGAACTGGAATACCAGTCCAGGAAGATGTGTGAATAGAAACAGAGTGTTTTCCTAAAGCACAGGGCTGACAGTGTGTGCTTTTCAGAAACCTGCAAGCAAACCCCCTCAAGGATGACTTGGCCAATGCCTTCCATGGCTTTATCCAGCTCCAGACTCTGTGAGTAAGGGTATGGGGTTGAGAGAATCAAAGAGAGGTAGTGCTGTGGGCTCAGCAACTTTGGGTTGCATATTAAGACTGCCTGTTTTGTGTTCAGGATACTACCACAAGATGTCAGCTGTCCTGGTGGTATTAATGCCTGGAATACTGTCACCTTTTATACAGACAAGCACATCTGCCAAGGGCAAAGGAACCTTTGCAATAGCACTGGGGATGCAGGTATGCTGTCTCACCTCCACCCATTTGGGAATTGTCTTTCCTCCTTTGTACTCTCCCTGTTAGATCAGAAAGACAGTAAAATTATTTATGTGCCTTTTGTTCAGATTTCTGAGGCTCTAACCCTTCGGAAAGAAAAGATCTTAAAATATATTTTATATTATGATGACGTTCTGACTATCTGTAATCTTTTCTCTCCTTTGACATAGAAATCATTGAAAGAATCTAAATTGAAGCAGATATTTGAAAAACATACCGAATGAGATCCAGTGATGTTCTCTCTTTCTCTCTGACTCCCAGAAATGTGTCCTGAGAATGGATCTTGTGTACCTGATGGTCCAGGTCTTTCGCAGTGTGTTTGTGCTGATGGCTTCCATGGCTACAAGTGTATGCGCCAAGTAAGGAATTAGATTTTCTAATTAGGGATAAGAGAAATGCATAGACCAGGAGGTGATGCAAATCACCTAGAGAATTGCCCTGGATGAGGGGATAGGTATACTAGGGAAGAACTGGGTGTTAGGATGTATATTGCCTTTGGTGTGTAATGGTGTGTATGAGTTTGTTGTTTTTTTTATCTTTTATTCACAGGGCTCGTTCTCACTGCTTATGTTCTTTGGGATTCTGGGATCCACCACATTATCCATCTCCATCCTGCTTTGGGGGACTCAACGACGAAAAGCCAAGGCTTCATGAACCACACAGGTCTTCCTACTGACCTAAGGATCATCCCAATCTATTTTAGCCCAGCCAGGGAGATTTGCTTCCTATAGACTGGCCAGAGGATCCTCTTCAAGGCTAAGGCCGCGGTTGGAAGGAAGATGGAACATTGCGCAATGCTGGAGTGTCACACTCCAGCCCAGGAGTGGACTAGTACCATTTCCCAATTGTGCTGTTAACTATAATAAACTTTTGTTTATTTATTTGTTTATTTTTAAAGGAAGATGCCCCGGCTTTGTGTGTTTCTTTGTTGGGGTAGGGAAGTAGGCTTTCTGTCACAGGTGTCTCCGGGCTTTGCGCTGTATAGCTGGGCGCTTCCACCTTCGCCGCGGCTCTGGCCCCGCCCCTTACGTGCCGGGCCCGCCCCGCACGCCGCCAGCTGCCTGCGCCGCCGCAGTTTGCCGCCGCCCGGCACGCCTGAGACTACTGCGCTTTCCGCCGCGCACTTGCTCCAGCCAGCGGCGCCGCTAGCCACGTGTACCTACTCGGGGCTCACAGTCCTCACGTGGTTCCAACATAGGCGGAAACTTGCTGTGCTTCCAGCTTCTCATTTTGCTCACGTCTCTGAGCTCCGTTCCCATGGCGACCCTGGTTTTGGAGGATGGGATGGTCCTGCGGGGCCAGCCCTTTGGGGCCGCAGTGTCGACTGCCGGAGAAGTGGGTAAGCAGGCCCGGTCCGGCTGCCGACCTTATTCCACTCTCTGCTGCCCTTCTCTGCCCAGCCTGCCCTATCCAGACCCCGCCATTTTCCCGCCTGCACAACCCTTCCCCTCCCCCTTTCGGCGCCCAAGTCCCCAGTCTAGCCTCTTTCATCTCACGGCATTGAGGCAGTGTTCCTAAGGGGGCCCTTCCTGAGCCCCAGTCCTGCTTCTTTCTTGCAGTGTTTCAAACCGGCATGGTTGGCTACCCCGAGGCCCTCACAGACCCTTCCTACAAAGCACAGATCTTAGTGCTGACATATCCTCTCATCGGCAACTATGGCATCCCCCCAGATGAAGTGGATGAGTTCGGTCTCAACAAGGTAGCCACACCCAATGCTTTCTCTATATTACTTCACCAGTAAGTAATCGTTAACTGTTAGTGAAGTGAAGACATTGACATTCAGCTAGGCATCCTGGAGAGAACAAAGATATATACTGAAGTGGTAAGACAAGTGTTATGCAGGGTTTGTTAAGTACCTTGAGAAGCACAGTGCTGGAGGCCTGGCCAGAGTCTGGGCTTTAGTAAGTAACCAGTGGGGAAAAAAAACAAAAGAACCAGTGAAGATTTTTAGCAGCAGAGTCCTGTGATAGAGCAATGCTTTAAGATTAAATAGATTAGTGGGAGACTATAAACTAGGGTCACACTCTTTACAGTGATGGTGGGTCCCAGTTCACCTACCAAACCAGCAAATTTGATTACCATTTTTCCAAACCTACTTTCCTTACCTTGCCTCGTTTTGTACCACTTCTCAGTAGAGTTCTTATGCCTAGATAAGAAAACTCAGCTTCTTCCCACAGCAAGGTTTACCCTGTTCCTTCTCTGGAATTTGTAAAAGAAATTGCCCCCTGAGAGTTCAAATAATAAAAATATCAACCCAAGTTAATAGGGGAAGTCACGATAGTCCAGGTGCAGTGTTTCTCAGACTTGTTTTGTTCTGATTCCAGGCTTACTGAGCTTTAGTTCTTAATTTGCCTTCCACTTGGGAGAGGGAACTCTAGGTAAGGGACATACTTGATATTCCTCAAAAGAACCATTCCTCATCACAAACGCTATAAATACACTGCACTCTAGTTATAATGCAGTATCTTAGTAAACATATGTCAGTCTTCAGCTTTGTCAACTATAAACACACTGGCAAAATTGATTTTATAAACCTGCAAAATTGAGGCGCTGAGAGAACCAGGGTAAGGCCTCCCAGAGCCACCAGACCACCATGGATACTTTTGTCACATGTGTTGTAAATACACTTGTCCATGTAGTGTTCCTGGACACGGGGTTTTGCCCAACTGACCTTCAAATCCCTAAATAACAGTCTCAATATCCATCTTTGGTTAAATCTTCCCCTAAGCAGATGTAATTTGTATATGTTACTCCTTCCCACATAAATGACTTGTTTCTCTTTTTAGTTATTAAATATTTATCTGTTGGATAACACATTTGTGTTGTCTTTTTTAAAAATATAATTGCCTATGAAGGAGGAGGGTATAATCATGCAAATATTATCCAAATATTTATTTTTATTTAGTAAGGTGTTATGTGCACCTACCTGTCTTACACTGTTTTTATCACACTCTACCTTGTTAATTTTCATGCTCTCTAAGTAACAAATTAATGTTGTGACAATAGGGACCTTGTCTTTTTTTATGCTCACTGTTTCTCCCCCAGCACTCAGTAAATGTTTATAGACTGCTACCATGTATCAGTCACCTTGCTCTTGAGGAGTTCTATGAAGAAGACACAAACACATTCATATTACCATGTAAATAGCAAGAACCGTGGTAATGAAGTGAACTTAGGTGAGCTTTAAGGAATAGACACAAGCTGTAGTGGGTGAGTGGAGGTGACTTCACAGAAAAGGGGATTTGTGATCTCAATTTTGGATAAAGGAAAAGGAAGGAAAAAGGAAAATGTCATTTTCAGTTATTAATCAGGCTCCCTGAGCCCATGTGTTAAGTATTTCATATGGGGAATAGCACTGCTGGTAAAGGGCAGAAGCATGAGGTACTTGGTATGGTTAAGAAATGACAGGTCATTCAATGTAGCTGAAGTACAGGGTTTATGCCATATGGTGGGAAAAGATGACAGGAAGTTATGTAGCCCTAGGCTCCTCACCATCTCTTCCTTCCATCAACAGTGGTTTGAATCCTCGGGGATCCATGTGGCAGGATTGGTGGTGGGAGAGTGCTGCCCCACGCCCAGTCACTGGAGTAGCATCTGCACCCTGCACAAGTGGTTGCAGCAGCATGGAATACCTGGCCTCCAAGGTATAGTGTAAGCACAAGTGTGTTTGGGCAGAGCACAGGTGCCTAGGTGAAAGAATCAGGAGAAGATCTCTGTGCCCTATTGGGACTTGAGTTCCAGGTTGTGATAGAATCTGACTAGAATGTTTAGATTGGGGTCTGTGGCAAGGACCTGAGCTCTTGCTCACATGGAAGATTCCAAACATACAAGAGGAGAGACTAGTACATAATGAATCCCCAGCTTCTATAGCCAGCAACTCAGGGCTAAACTTATTTCTTTTAGTGTGTGTGTGTGTGTGTGTGTGTGTGTGTGTGTGTTAATCCTCACTCGATATTTTTTCCATTTTCTCAGAAAGTGGAAGGGAGAGAGAGAAACATTGATTAGTTGCCTCCTGCACTCATGTAACCAGGGTGGGAATTGAACTGGCATCCCAGGTACGTGCCCTTGACTGGGAATCAAACCTGCAATCCTTTGGTACATGGGCTGAAGCTCTAACCACTTAACCACACTGGCCAGGGCAGAGCTAAACTTATTTCATCATGACTACTATAACCCCCAGATTATTTTGAAACAAATCTCAGTCATTGTATCATTTCATCCATAAATAGTTGTATATCTATCAAGTAGGAATCCTTTTAAAACATGATCACAATAACATCATACATTTGAAAAAATAATTTTTTAATGTCAAATATCCAGGCAAGGTTTAAATTTTTCTCAGTTATCTAATTTCTTTTTCATGGTTTGTTTACTTGAATCTGGATCTAAACAAGATTCATACATTGCTTTTTTTTTTTAATCCTCACCCAAGGACATTTTTGCATTTATCTTGTGATAGAGCTGGAAGGAGAGAAGGTGGAAGAGAGAGAGAGAAACATCGACGTCAGAGAGACACATCGAGTGGCTGTCACCCACATGACCCCAAGAGGGCCAGGGACAAACTGCAACCGATACGTGCCCTTATTGGGAACCGAACCAGGACCTGTCTGGTCCATGGGCCGACGCTCTAATTGCTGAGCCAAATCGGCCAGGGCCATACATTGCATTTTGTTATATCTATTTAATCGATGGGCCTTGTAACCTATTTGACAAAAACAGGTCAGTTTTTGTTTGGAGTATCCCACATTCTGCATGTTGTTGATTACATTCCTTTAGTGTCATTTAGCATATTCTTTTTCTGTGAGCAGATAAATCCTGGTATCATTTTTTGTGAACAGATAGTACATGATGGTAGTGTGCTTCCATCAGGATGGCTTAGGCTTTTGATGCCCATGGAACAACTTTGTGTCTCAGGGCTCAGGAATGGAAGTTCTCCTGGAACTCTTAACCTCTTGCATGACTGAGTTGGGGAGTGTGATCTCTCAGAGTGTGCTGTTTTGACAGGAGTGGACACTCGGGAGCTGACTAAGAAGTTGCGAGAGCAAGGGTCTCTGCTGGGAAAGCTGGTCCAGGATGGGACAGATCCTTTAGCCCTGCCATTCTTGGACCCCAATGCCCGCCCCCTGGTGCCGGAGGTCTCCATTAAGGTATAGAGGTAGAATGGGAGAATGTTGCAAGCTGTAGCACAGTAGTTATAGTTTGTAACTGTGGAGAACACTTGAGGGAGAATCAAAGGGGTCTCAAAGTTAGGGGTTTTTTGTGTACATATCTGTACTCACTGATCACAGCTGCCAACCATTGCACTTTATTTCTTAGGCTCCACAAATATTTAATGCAGGGGGTACCCCTCGGATCCTTGCTTTGGACTGTGGCCTCAAGTATAATCAGATCCGATGCTTGTGCCAGCGTGGGGCTGAGGTCACTGTGGTACCCTGGGACCATGCATTAGACAGCCAGGGTGAGTAGCTGGGTCTCTACAGGACCACAGACAAACAACATGGGTGGAAGATCTGTCTTTTAATCTAATTGCTAAAAGTCAACATGAGTTGCAGGGAAAACAATGGAAATAAGGGCTTTTGCTCTAATGGTAAGGGCTGCAAGTGTGTCTCTAGTTGAAGACTGGTTTTGACATTATCTTTTCCGCCCATTCCAGAGTATGAGGGTCTCTTCCTGAGTAATGGCCCTGGTGATCCTGCCTCCTATCCCAATGTGATATCTGCACTGAGCCATGTCTTATCTGAGCCTAATCCCCGACCTGTCTTTGGGATCTGCCTGGGGCACCAGCTGTTGGCCTTAGCCATTGGGGCCAAGACTTATAAGATGAGGTGGGACTTACGGGAAGAGGA